TGTGCAGCAAAAGAGACAATAACAAAAACAAAGAGAAACCCCACTTACTGAGAGAAAATTTTTGCACACAGCACTAGTGATAAAAGACTGATCACAAAAATCTACAAAGAGCTGATGAGACACAACAAAAACAAAGTAAATAATCCAGTCAAAAAATGGGCAGAAGAGCTAAAAAGAAACTTCTCCAAAGAGGAAATGCAAATGGTCAATAGGCATATGAAAAAATGTTCAACATCACTTGCAATCAGGGAAATGCAAATCAAAACTACAATGAGATACCATCTTACATCAGTGAGAATGGCACATATTAAAAAAAACTAGCAACAACAAATGTTGGTGAGGATGTGGAGAAAAAGGAACTCTCCTGCATTGCTGGTGGGAGTGCAAACTGGTCTAACCACTATGGAAAGCTGTGTGGAGATTCCTCAACCTACTAAAGGTAGAACTTCCATATGATCCAGCAATTCCATTCCTAGGTATTTTCCCAAAGGACTCAGAAACATTAATTCAAAAGGGCACCTGCACCCCTGTTTATAGTAGCACTATTTACAATAGCTATGCTATGGAAACAACCCAAATGCCCAAAAATAGATGACTGGATCAAGAAGATGTGGTACATATACACAATGGAATATTACTCAGCAATCAAAAAAAGATAAACTCATGCAATTTGCAGCAACATGGATGGAGCTGGAAGGGATCATGCTCAGTGAAATAAGCCAGAAAGAAAGGAAAAAATACCAGATGGTCTCACTCATAGCAGGAATTTAGAAAACCTAAATAAGTGACCAGGAAAAAGATTAATTACAATAAATAAAAAATCAAAATCAACAAGTAACTATAAATCAGAAACACACTATGGGGGGTGGGAGGGGAGGAGAGGAGGGATTTGGGCCAAAATAAGGGGGGGTGGGAATAAAACAAAATAAGATAAAATAAAATAAAAAAAATAAAAACATCTCTTCTGTACTGAAGTACTGAAATGTGCTATAAATTGATACATATTTAGTGTTTCTCCATGGAACAATGTCAGCAGCTTCAAATATAAGTAGTTTTTAAAATGATCAAGATTCAGTTTATGTAAATGGTCATGATATGTGGAATCTTAATATTCAATTAAACATTCAATACATTTTCTCAAAAGAAAAGTTTTACCCTACAAATTCCATTTTTGTGAGATTATGGTCCATTTTTATTCCTCATAGGTGAATGGTGCCTTCCAGTCAAAATAGAAGTAAGGTGCAAACCATACTTTTGTTTTATTTTTAAACTAGAGTCTGTGGTAAAATAAAGCACAACTAGGGCAAAACACATGTTCATTATTCTGAAAGCTTCTCTCTTATTTTATCACCCACTTTTCTAATGTAATAGTTTTCTAGGTTGTCAGTTGTAATGTAAATACCTGGTAAAAGCACTGTTCTTGGTTGTACTTGCACTTAATGTTAGCAGTAGTAAAATTTACTTCACGTTCTATAGCATCTTTAAGAGGATTGGGCTATTACATAATTCTATATATGTCACCTTAATCCCAGGCATTTGTGTTCAAGGCACCGCGAAGCATCAGGAAACAGAGGCATGGGATATATCCTTTAACAAAGGAGGCCCTAGTCCGTTTGGGAAAACAAACCCGCAATTAATTATGAAGCAAACACGAGTTGGTGCTATGACAAGTGGACTAAAGGACTAAAGGAACATAGAAAGGTGATTAATTCCTCAGGGAATTGAAAGAAGGGTAGGTACAACAGGGCAGGGCTTTCCCAGAAGCAGAAAAAGCATGAAAAGGGAGTTAGGGCTGGAGGCATGATTTCTGTATCTGATGAGCATTCCACATAGTGCGCGTTGGATGGTAGTAGAAGGTAGATCGTGGTCAAGTCTTTCAAGGTCATAAATTTTGTACTAGGGAATGTGAATTTTAATCCTTAGTAGAGATAAGGTGGAAAAATCATCCCTTGATAAATAACATCAGGTAAAAGCTTGTAGGAATAAAACAAACCAACCAAGGTCCTCCCTGGTGGCGTAGCGGTTGAGCGCTGGGCTGCGAAGCTGCTTGCAGCCTCTGCAGCGCCGGTTCGATCCCCGGCCATTGGTGAGGGTCCCACATGGCACGCAGACCTCTCCTGCCGTGCCTGCTGCTTCCCTCAGCAGTGTACTTCATCAGTCTGCCTGTTCTGTTCCCCACTCTGGCTCTGGTGAATTCTCTCACCCTCCCGTGCTTCTGACTGTACCCAGTGTTGTATAAATAAATAAATAAATCTTAAAAACAAAAACAAAAACAACCAAGAAGAAACATCAAGTTCATGAACTAAAGCAATGGCGCTGTGAAAGGAGAGGACTGATCTGAAGGAGCTGTAGAGAGAGAAAGCAATGGTCCAAGGGACAGATTAAGTGTGGAGTTTGAGTATAAAGGAGAAGATGACTCTTAGGTCTCATGTTTGCGTGAGATTTCCAGTAGGCCTACAACCTAGGTAGATTTTTTTTTTAGAAGATTTATTTATTTATGCATACAAGAGCTGGAGTGCAGGCCAGAGGTGTGGAGGGATAAGAGGATTCATTGGAGACAGAATGAATCCTGTTGTTCCTTGGTCAAGGGTCAAACTCATGCTGCAGTGGCTGTGGATAGCTTCATAGTGCTGAGACATTACCCCTTGCACCACCAGGGAGGCTCAACCTAGGTAGATTTTGAAGCTAGACCCACAGGTCTCAGATATCTTTCCATAAACACTGAGAAGTAAGAGCACCATTCAGGGTAAGAGACTGAAAAAAAAAAAAAAACCTAGTGGTTCCTCCCCAGGTAAGCAGTGCCCTCTCAGTGTTCCTTGAAAACCACAGTGTTTTATTAAGACTTACCTATCATTTCTGTAATATCTTATTGGTTACACAACTCAGTCTAATTCACTGTGGAACGAAATCCACAAGGACCTGGAGACTAGGAGCAAAGAAGGGTATCAGTGGGGATGCTTGGACATTGTCTACCACACATTATTATTTGTATCCAATACACTCATTGTCAATTTGCATAATTTACTACTCATTCTTATACAAGTTAAAGACCTTCCAAGGAGAGATTTTTCTCTAAACATTTTCTAATTCAGGACTTGAATAGCTTTTTTTAAATTCATGAAAATATTTGAGACCTCTAGTTTGTAAAAATTTAGAATCCAATGATAAACATTAGCTTGCCAATAAAAAAAAAAAAATGAAGAGGTACCCTGCTGCACTTGGTAATGAATGAAGCTTTAAATGGACTATTCATGCCATTTATCTGTTTGAATCATTGATATAAATTGCATCAAGCAAGTCCTCTGGAAATCACCCAAATGAATAGAATGTGCCATTAATCAAGGTGCCAGTTAAATGAATTCTACACTTTTGGCAGCTGTGCGGGGGGAAGATTGTACATTTTCCACCTTATATTTTGAATTTTAAGAGACAAGAAGGACTGGTAGAAAAGCTAAAATAAGGTTTACATGCAGCTTCCATGTGTGGCACAGGCGCTGAGTAACTAACCACCTGTGAATACTGACAGCTGACAAGAAAGTTCTGGCTGGAAGAGTGGCCTCACTCTCCTGGCATAAGACCAAGGATCTCACCTCAGCAGTGCTGCTTTGCACAGACCATTGCCTAAGTGCAGAGTTCCTGATGTAAACCTATAAACTTGCTCAAGTATCCCATTGCCAAGAAGAAACCTTGATTTGGATGAGAGGCCATTTCCTCAGCCTCACCTCCCTGGTCATCCACTCCCTCTGCAGGCTTTCAGCCTCTCTGAAAATTCCCACCCCCTCTCTGCTAAAACTACTTTCTCATAACCTAGCAGCAACAGTAAGCTCGACAGCACCAGTTGAGACCCGCCACACTTCCTAAAGCCTATTCATGGTCTCAGCTCTTTGTTCTGTTGAACTCCACGGACCTCTGCTTCGTCTTCTGTCTTCTCATGGTGCCCAGCACAAAACAAAAGTAGTGCTTTCATTTTATTGCTCATTTTCCTCAGTTCAGCCTCTATACTGTTTTGCCTTTACATTCAGATTCAGCCCCCTCAGCTCCAGCCAGCATAGCAAGATGGGCATTTTCTGTGTCTGTCATTTCAATTTTGATCTCCCTCCCTAGTTCTTTGTTCCTATGGCACTGCAAACTCAGTAATTCTAAAACCAAACTAATCACTCCTGTGACCCATCACAGTTTATCATTTGCCTAAATCTTGTCCCTGAGCCCGTCACCTAGGTGACCATTTTTCTTGACCTTTCTTCCTTGCACTTCACACTTTGCAAATCCTTCTGGCCTTATCATTTCTGCTTCCCCCATGTTTCTTGCGTCCATCCCTCCTCTTACCTAACATTTAAGTTATCTTTACCTTCTTCCTATGCAAAGCTTCTAGTTTATCAACAATCTAAAGCCAACTCTAGGTGTGACTCTTCTCCTTAACATAACCTTGCCCTGCATAGCCCATACTGTTTCCTCTACCAAGAATTAATCCTTTCCTCATTTCAGATTCCCCAAATCACACATATGTGTGATATCTCAAGATCCAGATTAAATACCACTTTCTCCATGACTGCATGGGGACACCATGAATAGTCAGTTGATATCTTCATCTTTAAACATGGTACCTTCTGGGGCACATCTCATTTCACCTTATTTGTCTGCCCTACATATTCCAAGTAGGTTGTAAGAGTCCATGATCTTATTTTCTTAAGATGTTTTCTCCCACAATTCATTCTAGGGATTTTTAATTTGTAGGTTTATTGTTGAATAAATGACTCTTGCAAATAAGATTTTTAAAACCCAACAGCTTATTAAATATTTACTGATTTATTTTTTACTTTTATAAGTTGATTGAGAGCATTTTTCATCCATTTCTGCTATGCCCAGTCATCTCTAGAAGCATGTTGGACAGGCTGAAGTAGTGATTAGGTTTGGAAATTGCTGTAATCTGGACATTCATCTTAGTTACATCATGTTCTCATAGCCCCACCCAGCAACTGACCTGCCACTTCTCATTTCAGGGAGAATGGAGAACAAAAGAGAACAAAAAGCAACTTCAGGTAAGATTTTTCACTGCCTCAAGCTTTATTTCCTGGTTTTACTTCCACCTAAAAAAAAAAAAATATATATATATATATATTTGTAATTTAGAATTCAAAGACTCACATAAAAATGTAATAGTTTATAGTACTAAAATTTATAGGTATTAAATTATTACTGATACTCATTTAAATATTAAATTATATTAAATATAATTAAATGAATTAAAATTAATGGATGTAGATTTCTCACTTTCACATCAATAATGCCCTCTAATTCCATCATTCTATTCAACAGAAAATGAGATGGAATGTTAATTTTTTTATGATTACCTAGCTAAAGGTAAGTCTTGCAACCACCAGTTTCAAAATATGAGCTTATAATAATTAAAAATCATTTTACTTTCCAAACATCTATGAATCGCTATTATTTTTCTTAATACCGTTTATGTAGTTGATAGTTTTCAGGGCAGTATTAACTACTTAAGTAAGGACAATCTTTATATTTTGGAAGAATTACATTTTTAAATTCTAATTTATATTCAGATGTGCATGACACTTTGGCACTGTGCCATTAGACATAGTATGAAATCAATATTTGCTAACTAATTGAAAAATAAGTTTTTAGATTTCTGTACTTGGTTTTGGCTCAAAGTCATGGGGTAAAGTACCTTTGCCCAGGAAATCTTTCAGCAGGGTCTGTCTTCCAGTGCAAAATGCCCAGAAATTGTCAATAATCAGAGAATTCTAGTTTGGCCCATCACCCTTCCTAAATCTCCAGCAACCCACCATTCTTAGATATGCGAGAGCTGCCAACATAGACTCAATTGTTCCCAACTATGTCTTCTTTCAATTTCATTTTTTGTCTAGTAACAAGCTATCATGTGTGTTTCAAAACAGTCAGTTTAGTCAATAGAAGACAAATTTCTGTGTTAACATAAAAGTGCATAAACAGTTTAAAACCCTGTCTCTTTACCCTTCCTAACCTTAGCATCATCTCAAACCACGAGGCAATTTCCCTGCGTGACTTTCTCTCTTAAATGTTATTGTTTGCATTCTTTTATGTGTATCTTTTCAAGTGTGCCATGAATACAAAAAAAAAAAAAAAGTTTAGGCAAGAAAGTGTCTGATTTCCTCATAGATGTCATCACCTACATATTGCTCCTTGAAGGGAAATTATTTATGTCGTTTCTAAAATACACTTGCTATGATCACATCGGCACTGGCTTCTTTCATTAAAGATGCTTTAGAGTTCAAAAGACAGCTAAACTGACCAGTGTGAAACCAGGTGCCTCTTTTCTTTCCCCACATATCATGGATTCTAATGTCCTAGTGACTAGGAGACAGAAAGGACTGGAGACAGAGGCAGGGTGAGAACTATGCCTTCCTCACTCCTTGTTTTTCAGGTGACCGATCATCCTAACCTTTTTTCCCCCTACGCAGTATCACTTTGATACTGTGTTCAGTTTCTTACTTCATAAAATGCTTTTCAATAATTGGAAGGTCTTTTTTTTTAAAAGATTAATTGATTTATTTATTTATGCATAGAAGAACTGGGGTGTAGGCCAGAGTTGCAGGTGGGTGAGAGGATTCACCAGAGACAGAGCGGGGAGCAGAACAAGCAGATCTACTGAAATACAGTGCTAAGGGGAGCAGCAGGCAAGACAGGAGAGGTCTGCTGCAGCATGTGAGGGGTATCTTCCTGGCTGGGAAGCAAACTCAGGCCATGGTAGTGATACCACTGAGACTTAAACCCCAGGCCAACACAGAGAGCCCAGAAAGGTCTTTTTTAAGGTAGGGAACTCTATAACTGGGGTTATCAAAAAACTCCTTTTATTAATGAAGCTAATTTGTCCCTACTAATTCACATCTTGTCAATGTGTCTGATTTCTGTAAGAATGTGAGAATAAGTTTTTATATCAAAGTAAAGTCAAGGATAATGAATGAACAGAACTCAAATTGTTAGGGAAAATTTGAAGATTCTTATCATTTCAAAGAACACAAATCCTATCCTGGAAAATCTGTCTATCTATCTGTGTATCTATAATCTAAGTTTACAAAATTGGGCCATAAATTTTGTCAAAATAGTCAGAAGTATCACCATGCTCAGTTAGTGAAGCTAGTCTGAATGTGAGCATCTCTCATAAACATATGCCTAAGATACTAGAAATATCATGGGCATTCCTGCTTCTGACTTCCTGCCTGCACTTCTATAATTTATCATTCATTTTATTTAGATTCTTGTTCTACCTGATGGATTAGACAGTGTCCCTTCTACCATCTTGTCTATAATAAGTACAATCCCATTTATGGGATAGCAGTATTAGATCCAATATGTCCTAGCCTATTGAAGCAATCATGCTGGAAAGCAATGAATTTTGAGAAAACATATTATAGACAAAATTATTCCCCATTAAAATAGGAACTCCCAGAACCCTCACCTTTTGATTGGTTAAGTTTGATTAATTATTTAAATAATCTTGCACTAAGATGAAAATTACAGAAATATGACTAAGAAATAACTTCCTAGCAAGGAAACCTCTTCAGGACTGGAAAGAATTAGATCGTTAATAAAACTGTGCAGAGATGGGGCATCACCAGCAAGGGATGTTGACAAAAGATTCCTGAAGAGTTCGGTGGGATTTTTCTTAGGTTTTTTTTCCAATTTTGTGCCTATGATTCTACTTATAATTATTACTGTATTTAATCTGTACTCCACAATGTGCATATGGATTCTCACACACACACACACACACACACACACACACACACACACAGAGAGAGAGAGAGAGAGAGAGAGAGAGAGAGAGAGAACAGCACTAATGACTCACATTCCATTATGTAACTGAATGAATCATATTTCAAAGCTTATTTAATTTAGGTTGGACTGAGTTGCCCAGTAGAGCATATGGGACAAAGAGAATGTAATAAAATTGCCCTATACTTTATTTAGCTTTTTGGGAAGGGAAAGTTGTTTGTACCCTTATTGTAACCGTGACTGTGGTTTCAAATATGATGCTGTTTCCTATAAGCCAAGAATAACTTGCAAGAGAATATGCTTAACCTATATCATTCATTGTCATTTTGAAAAACAATTCAAAGCATAAACCTCTTGACATTGAACTTCGAAACCCATGCATAGCCATACAGCATGGCTAGCAAAAGCAATGCTCAATATGGCTATTTGGGTGGATAAAGAATGAATATTAAAATGTTATGGTCGACAAAATATCAGGAGGTAAATTCCTGATGTAATCCATTTTCTATTTGCCGTTGATTTTTTTAATGACCCTTATATCTTCCCCAGAAAAATAAGAAAACAACCAGCTAGCCCATAGATTTCATTTTTTTTTTTTATTTTATAAAAAGCTCTGTAATAGAGTTTGAAGTACTTTTATCTCACCAGAAGAAATACCCTTTTTTAGGTCAAGGAATTCTTGATATTAAGAGCAACACAGCATAAAGAAAAATTCTTACAGAGAAAAGTGCTTCATAAATTATTGTTTAGAAAAAACGATACTAGAAGCCTTATTAGACAGATTTTGGAGACACTGTCTGTGAAATATATATTGTCCCAATTTTTCTAAGGGGGAGAACACTTTTGAATCCACTTAACTATTAAGTAAAGCATAGTCCTCGTAGACCGGAGAACGGAGTTATCAGTAGAAAAGATAATGAGTGTTTTTAAATGACGTTGCATACTTTTCATTAGCACAACCTTAAAGTTAAAGATGCTGGATTCATTTGCATAATTTGCAAAAAAGTTACTGGTAAAGAGGAACAATGTTATTTTTTTCTTCACTCAAAAGGTGAAATTTATTATTGGAAATTCAACAAATGGTAGAACATCTGCTTTGCAAGCTCAGTCCCTTGCTGCTTACTTATTGCCTGGGATTTTTGCTTCTTTAAAATGTTCTAAAACAGCAATAGCACCTCCATTTTAAAACTTTTTAACACACATTGAACATGTAGTCATGCAGGATTAAAAAATAGTGCAATAGATACCAAATAAATTCTTCCATCTGTGTGAGAATAGCATGCATACTTTCTTATAAATATTACTCATTTGTTGAATCTAAATTTTCAAATACATGCATATTTAGCATGATTTTTTTTTCTGTGATGTTGTTGTTACAGTGCTTTTCCCCACAGTTCCAGTATACTCTCAAAAATAAGTCAGAAAGAAAAAGAAAAATACCGGATGGTCTCACTCAGGAATTTAGCAGGAATTTAGAAAACCTAAATAAGGGACCAGGAAAAAGACTAATTAATACAAAGTAAAAATCAAAATCAACAAGCAACTATAAACCAGAGACACACTACAGGGGGAGGGGGAGAGGAAGGATTAGGGTCAAAATAAGGGGGGGTTCAATTGTATGGGGAATATAACCAAAATGAAAATGCATATGTTGTGGAAAAATGAAAAATGATGTAAGAATTATATAAAATAAAATATTAAAAAAGAGAAAGAAAACATTAAAAGACTAGTTCCACTCCCCCCCCAAAAAAAGTGGGAGAAAATCTAATTTGCCATCATCTTAATTGTTGGTGACCAACATTAAAATATGAAGTTAGGCGGATTATATCATGACAAATAAATTTAAGAAACGATCCATCTTGAAAAGCCCATAATTTTTTAAATGTCAATGTGATGCTTTACATGTTTTGTTCTCATTTTGAGAACCATTATTCCACTTTGATTAAGCTTGAAAATGGACATCATCCTAACTTGTCAAAAGCACACAAGAGGTCTTATATTGACCACATCTCGTTGATACCACAAAAGGAGCAGAGAAGGAATCTGTGGCATTTATAACTCAGTGCATCCAATTTGATAAACATTTGTGGTCCAAGCTTTGTGCTTTATATTGGAGATGCAACGGTGAATAAGATAGGGCACTAATGTCTTCCATCCATTCACTTTCAGCTGAGTGATACAAACAAGTGCAGATGATTATAGCACAGTGTGAAGAGTACCTTTTAGAGAACTACTTACAGGGAGTCATGAGGATTTCAAGAAA